TGGGGTGGTTCAAATAGCCTCGGCTATCACCTCATTTTGTCCGGTCGTGATGGTCAAGTGGATTAAGGCGTCTTGTACATACCAGTTGCGTTGCTTCTGGGAGTATGGGTTCGAGTCACTTCTGGGGTGTGAGTTTTCAGTTGCATATTGTCCTGGGGACCATTCAGGCTTGTTCGCATTTGTGTTCCTCACGTGTGCCCCAAAGAATGAGGTGATTTGGTAAAATGCTATGCCCAAGATAACTATCCGAGTGCCGGCGGTGGGGTGGTTCAAATAGCCTCGGCTATCACCTCATTTTGTCCGGTCGTGATGGTCAAGTGGATTAAGGCGTCTTGTACATACCAGTTGCGTTGCTTCTGGGAGTATGGGTTCGAGTCACTTCTGGGGTGTGAGTTTTCAGTTGCATATTGTCCTGGGGACCATTCAGGCTTGTTCGCATTTGTGTTCCTCACGTGTGCCCCAAAGAATGAGGTGATTTGGTAAAATGCTATGCCCAAGATAACTATCCGAGTGCCGGCGGTGGGGTGGTTCAAATAGCCTCGGCTATCACCTCATTTTGTCCGGTCGTGATGGTCAAGTGGATTAAGGCGTCTTGTACATACCAGTTGCGTTGCTTCTGGGAGTATGGGTTCGAGTCACTTCTGGGGTGTGAGTTTTCAGTTGCATATTGTCCTGGGGACCATTCAGGCTTGTTCGCATTTGTGTTCCTCACGTGTGCCCCAAAGAATGAGGTGATTTGGTAAAATGCTATGCCCAAGATAACTATCCGAGTGCCGGCGGTGGGGTGGTTCAAATAGCCTCGGCTATCACCTCATTTTGTCCGGTCGTGATGGTCAAGTGGATTAAGGCGTCTTGTACATACCAGTTGCGTTGCTTCTGGGAGTATGGGTTCGAGTCACTTCTGGGGTGTGAGTTTTCAGTTATATATATATATATATATATATATATATATATATATATATATATATATACATATATATATCATTGTGATCATTGACACATTTGCGTTTGTGTCTCTCCCTTCAATACGTTCTGGAACCAGTGCATATTGTTATCACAGGGATCATGGGATCATACTCTTGAGCGTAGTAAACGTAATAGGCCTGAGTAAAAAGTATTCCTGTGGCAGGTACGAGCCAGGTTACAAAGCTGAGCTGATAGCGGACACCATTAGTGTCCCAGGAGCGGACACCACCAGTATCCCAGGAGCGGACACCACCAGTATCCCAGGAGCGGACACCACCAGTGTCCCAGGAGCGGACACCACCAGTGTCCCAGGAGCGGACACCACCAGTATCCCAGGAGCGGACACCACCAGTATCCCAGGAGCGGACACCACCAGTATCCCAGGAGCGGACACCACCAGTATCCCAGGAGCGGACACCACCAGTGTCCCCGGAGCGGACACCACCAGTGTCCCAGGAGCGGACACCACCAGTGTCCCAGGAGCGGACACCACCAGTGTCCCAGGAGCGGACACCACCAGTATCCCAGGAGCGGACACCACCAGTGTCCCAGGAGCGGACACCACCAGTATCCCAGGAGTGGACACCACCAGTGTCCCAGGAGCGGACACCACCAGTGTCCCAGGAGCGGACACCACCAGTGTCCCAGGAGTGGACACCACCAGTATTCCAGGAGCGGACACCACCAGTGTCCCAGGAGTAGACACCACCAGTATTCCAGGAGCGGACACCACCAGTATCCCAGGAGCGGACACCACCAGTGTCCCAGGAGCGGACACCACCAGTGTCCCAGGAGCGGACACCACCAGTATCCCAGGAGCGGACACCACCAGTGTCCCAGGAGTGGACACCACCAGTATCCCAGGAGCGGACACCACCAGTGTCCCAGGAGCGGACACCACCAGTGTCCCAGGAGTGGACACCACCAGTGTCCCAGGAGCGGACACCACCAGTGTCCCAGGAGCGGACACCACCAGTGTCCCAGGAGTGGACACCACCAGTGTCCCAGGAGTGGACACCACCAGTATCCCAGGAGCGGACACCACCAGTGTCCCAGGAGCGGACACCACCAGTATCCCAGGACACCAGCGGACACCAGTGTCCCAGGAGCGGACACCACCAGTATCCCAGGAGCGGACACCACCAGTGTCCCAGGAGCGGACACCACCAGTGTCCCAGGAGTGGACACCACCAGTGTCCCAGGAGCGGACACACCAGTGTCCCAGGAGCGGACCACCAGTGTCCCAGGAGCGGACACACCAGTGTCCCAGGAGCCACCAGTGTCCCAGGAGCGGACACCACCAGTATCCCAGGAGCGGACACCACCAGTGTCCCAGGAGCGGACACCACCAGTGTCCCAGGAGCGGACACCACCAGTATCCCAGGAGCGGACACCACCAGTATCCCAGGAGCGGACACCACCAGTATCCCAGGAGCGGACACACCAGTGTCCCAGGAGCGGACACCACCAGTATCCCAGGAGCGGACACCACCAGTGTCCCAGGAGTGGACACCACCAGTGTCCCAGGAGTGGACACCACCAGTGTCCCAGGAGCGGACACCACCAGTGTCCCAGGAGCGGACACCACCAGTATCCCAGGAGCGGACACCACCAGTGTCCCAGAAGCGGACACCACCAGTATCCCAGGAGCGGACACCACCAGTGTCCCAGGAAGGGACACCACCAGTATCCCAGGAGCGGACACCACCAGTGTCCCAGGAGCGGACACCAGTGTCCCAGGAGCGGACACCACCAGTATCCCAGGAGCGGACACCAGTGTCCCAGGAGCGGACACCAGTGTCCCAGGAGCGGACACCAGTGTCCCAGGAGCGGACACCAGTGTCCCAGGAGCGGACACCACCAGTGTCCCAGGAGCGGACACCCCCAGTGTCCCAGGAGCGGACACCACCAGTATCCCAGGAGCGGACACCAGTGTCCCAGGAGCGGACACCAGTGTCCCAGGAGCGGACACCAGTGTCCCAGGAGCGGACACCAGTATCCCAGGAGCGGACACCACCAGTGTCCCAGGAGAGGACATCACCAGTGTCCCAGGAGCGGACACCACCAGTGTCCCAGGAGTGGACACCACCAGTATTCCAGGAGCGGACACCACCAGTGTCCCAGGAGTGGACACCACCAGTATTCCAGGAGCGGACACCACCAGTATCCCAGGAGCGGACACCACCAGTGTCCCAGGAGCGGACACAACCAGTGTCCCAGAAGCGGACACCACCAGTATCCCAGGAGCGGACACCACCAGTGTCCCAGGAGTGGACACCACCAGTATCCCAGGAGCGGACACCACCAGTGTCCCAGAAGCGGACACCACCAGTGTCCCAGGAGTGGACACCACCAGTATCCCAGGAGCGGACACCACCAGTGTCCCAGGAGTGGACACCATCAGTGTCCCAGGAGTGGACACCACCAGTATCCCAGGAGCGGACACCACCAGTGTCCCAGGAGCGGACACCACCAGTATCCCAGGAGCGGACACCAGTGTCCCAGGAGCGGACACCACCAGTATCCCAGGAGCGGACACCACCAGTGTCCCAGGAGTGGACACCACCAGTGTCCCAGGAGTGGACACCAGTATCCCAGGAGCGGACACCACCAGTGTCCCAGGAGCGGACACCACCAGTATCCCAGGAGCGGACACCACCAGTGTCCCAGGAGTGGACACCACCAGTGTCCCAGGAGCGGACACCACCAGTATCCCAGGAGCGGACACCACCAGTATCCCAGCAGCGGACACCACCAGTATCCCAGGAGCGGACACCAGTGTCCCAGGAGCGGACACCACCAGTATCCCAGGAGCGGACACCACCAGTGTCCCAGGAGTGGACACCACCAGTGTCCCAGGAGTGGACACCACCAGTGTCCCAGGAGCGGACACCACCAGTGTCCAAGGAGTGGACACCACCAGTATCCCAGGAGCGGACACCAGTGTCCCAGAAGCGGACACCACCAGTATCCCAGGAGCGGACACCACCAGTGTCCCAGGAAGGGACACCACCAGTATCCCAGGAGCGGACACCACCAGTGTCCCAGGAGCGGACACCAGTGTCCCAGGAGCGGACACCACCAGTATCCCAGGAGCGGACACCAGTGTCCCAGGAGCGGACACCAGTGTCCCAGGAGCGGACACCAGTGTCCCTGGAGCGGACACCAGTGTCCCAGGAGCGGACACCACCAGTGTCCCAGGAGCGGACACCCCCAGTGTCCCAGGAGCGGACACCACCAGTATCCCAGGAGCGGACACCAGTGTCCCAGGAGCGGACACCAGTGTCCCAGGAGCGGACACCAGTGTCCCAGGAGCGGACACCAGTATCCCAGGAGCGGACACCACCAGTGTCCCAGGAGCGGACATCACCAGTGTCCTAGGAGCGGACACCACCAGTGTCCCAGGAGCGGACACCAGTATCCCAGGAGCGGACACCAGTATCCCAGGAGCGGACACCACCAGTATCCCAGGAGCGGACACCAGTATCCCAGGAGCGGACACCAGTATCCCAGGAGCGGACACCAGTATCCCAGGAGCGGACACCACCAGTATCCCAGGAGCGGACACCAGTATCCCAGGAGCGGACACCAGTATCCCAGGAGCGGACACCATCAGTGTCCCAGGAGCAGACACCAGTATCCCAGGAGCGGACACCAGTGTCCCAGGAGCGGACACCAGTGTCCCAGAAGCGGACACTATAACCTCTAATTCTCTACACAACTCAGGTAAGCATGGGTCATTTTTTCATTAATTTATTATTGTTCAATTTAATTAGTAGATAAGATGGAACACACTTATCTTAAGATGGATCTCTGTTACCTTAAAATGTAAATCCGTTACCTTAAGATAGAGCTATATTACCTTAAGACAGACCTCCCCTTACCTTAAGACAGAAGTGCCCTACCTTAAGACAGACCTCCCCTTACCTTAAGACAGAAGTGCCCTACCTTAAGACAGACCTCCCCTTACCTTAAGACAGAAGTGCCCTACCTTAAGACAGACCTCCCCTTACCTTAAGACAGAAGTGCCCTACCTTAAGACGGAAGCAGACGAGGCCAAGAGTGACGGGGAGAATGATCTCGAATCTTGAGTCGCCCTTAACATGGTTCTCGAACTGGTGCGCCAATCCCACCTGCAAGCACAGTACCTTAGTCACCTGGTTCATGGTCAGACCACCTGCAAGCACAGTACCTTAGTCACCTGGTTCATGGTCAGACCACCTGCAAGCACAGTACCTTAGTCACCTGGTTCATGGTCAGACCACCTGCAAGCACAGTACCTTAGTCACCTGGTTCATGGTCAGACCACCTGCAACCACACTACCTTAGTCACCTGGTTCATGGTCAGACCACCTGCAACCACACTACCTTAGTCACCTGGTTCATGGTCAGACCACCTGCAAGCATAGTACCTTAGTCACCTGGTTCATGGTCAGACCACCTGCAACCACACTACCTTAAGGGGCCAGATTCACGAAGCAGTTACGCAAGCACCTACGAACGTGTTCATCTTTCCTCAAACTTTGACGGCATTGGTTACATGTATTAAACAGTATACAACCATGAAAACTTCCCAATCAATTGCTGTTATTGTTATAAACAGCCTTCTGGTGCTTCGGAGCTCATTAACTGTTTAATAATTGTAAAATTCACCAATTTCAAATCCAGTAAACATTTTAAAATTTCACCAATTTGTTATTTTATTCATTATGGGCTCAGAATGGCATATAACGTTCATTTTAATTTCTTTACAATATTGTTTGAGAGTATAGTTTACCGTAACAAAACTAGTCAACGTGACCTTCAAAATATGCGCAAAATTTAGACGGAAATTTACGAGTTTAAGAACTAAGGGCAGAAATAAAACCTCAGATCTAAGAACGTTGCACATACTATGTAAAAATGGTGAGAATCGCCCAGAAACTGAATTTTCTATTCTGACTCTAAAGTTGAAATTTCTGTTTTAGAGATACAGTAGTTGAAGTTATTGACAAAGAATATGGGTAGTTCTAATTTATTAATTTACTTGTATGTTTTAGTAAACATTGCTGGGCATTCGTACTCGAATATGTGAAACTTGAAGTTCAATATGGGTTGAAATGAAGTGAAGACAAAGTATCCCGACCCCACAAAAAAAACTAATATAGGGTTAAGGATAATGGGTTAATAATGATAATAAGTAAACTTTATATAAGTGATAAAGCCTGCATCTGGTCCCCATTCATCAATACAACAGACAAAGACAATAGAGTTTGAATTGGGTAAATTTTTCGGCCAAACCCGAAATAAAAGTCAAAGTCCCAATATTTGCCACATGTGGCAGATTAACACGTTAACCTCACGCACTCCCACTCGCCCAACACAGTGACGGGTACACTCTCTCCAGGATGGTCAACCTCACACAAAATAACATTAGGAACAACGGAGAAATAAAATAACAAAAACTCTGGATACAACAAATTTCGTTAACATGATTCACTATTCATGGCCCACCATGGTCCACCATGACCCACCATGGTCCACCATGACCCACCATGGTCCACCATGACCCACCATGGTCCACCATGACCCACCATGGTCCACCATGACCCACCATGGTCCACCATGACCCACCATGGTCCACCATGACCCACCATGGTCCACCATGACCCACCATGGTCCACCATGACCCACCATGGTCCACCATGACCCACCATGGTCCACCATGACCCACCATGGTGGACCATGACCCACCATGGTCCACCATGACCCACCATGGTCCACCATGACCCACCATGACCCACCATGGTCCACCATGACCCACCATGGTCCACCATGGTCCACCCCACCATGGTCCACCATGACCCACCATGGTCCACCATGACCCACCATGGTCCACCATGACCCACCATGGTCCACCATGACCCACCATCCACCATGACCCACCATGGTCCACCATGACCCACCATGGTCCACCATGACCCACCATGACCCACCATGGTCCACCATGACCCACCATGGTCCACCATGACCCACCATGGTCCACCATGACCCACCATGGTCCACCATGGTCCACCATGACCCACCATGGTCCACCATGACCCACCATGGTCCACCATGACCCACCATGGTCCACCATGACCCACCATGGTCCACCATGACCCACCATGGTCCACCATGACCCACCATGGTCCACCATGACCCACCATGGTCCACCATGACCCACCATGGTCCACCATGACCCACCATGGTCCACCATGACCCACCATGGTCCACCATGACCCACCATGGTCCACCATGACCCACCATGGTCCACCATGACCCACCATGGTCCACCATGACACACCATGGTCCACCATGACCCACCATGGTCCACCATGACACACCATGGTCCACCATGACCCACCATGGTCCACCATGACACACCATGGTCCACCATGACCCACCATGGTCCACCATGACCCACCATGGTCCACCATGACCCACCATGGTCCACCATGACCCACCATGGTCCACCATGACCCACCATGGTCCACCATGACCCACCATGGTGGACCATGACCCACCATGGTCCACCATGACCCACCATGGTCCACCATGACCCACCATGACCCACCATGGTCCACCATGACCCACCATGGTCCACCATGGTCCACCATGGTCCACCATGACCCACCATGACCCACCATGGTCCACCATGACCCACCATGGTCCACCATGACCCACCATGGTCCACCATGACCCACCATGGTGGACCATGACCCACCATGGTCCACCATGACCCACCATGGTCCACCATGACCCACCATGGTCCACCATGACCCACCATGGTCCACCATGACCCACCATGGTCCACCATGACCCACCATGACCCACCATGGTCCACCATGACCCACCATGGTCCACCATGACCCACCATGGTCCACCATGACCCACCATGGTCCACCATGACCCACCATGGTCCACCATGACCCACCATGGTCCACCATGACCCACCATGGTCCACCATGACCCACCATGGTCCACCATGACCCACCATGGTCCACCATGACCCACCATGGTCCACCATGACCCACCATGGTCCACCATGACCCACCATGGTCTACCATGACCCACCATGGTCCACCATGACACACCATGGTCCAACATGACACACCATGGTCCACCATGACACACCATGGTCCACCATGACCCACCATGGTCTACCATGACACACCATGGTCCACCATGACCCACCATGGTCCACCATGACCCACCATGGTCCACCATGACCCACCATGGTCCACCATGACCCACCATGGTCCACCATGACACACCATGGTCCACCATGACCCACCATGGTCCACCATGACACACCATGGTCCACCATGACACACCATGGTCCACCATGACCCACCATGGTCTACCATGACCCACCATGGTCCACCATGACCCACCATGGTCCACCATGACCCACCATGGTCCACCATGACACACCATGGTCCACCATGACACACCATGGTCCACCATGGTCTACCATGACACACCATGGTCCACCATGACCCACCATGGTCCACCATGACCCACCATGGTCCACCATGACCCACCATGGTCCACCATGACCCGCCATGGTCCACCATGACACACCATGGTCCACCATGACCCACCATGGTCCACCATGACACACCATGGTCCACCATGACCCACCATAGTCTACCATGACGCACCATGGTCCACCATGACCCACCATGGTCCACCATGACCCACCATGGTCCACCATGACCCACCATGGTCCACCATGACCCACCATGACCCACCATGACTCACCATGGTCCACCATGACCCACCATGGTCCACAATGACCCACTATGACCCACCATGGTCCACCATGACCCACTATGACCCACCATGGTCCACCATGACCCACTATGACCCACCATGACCCACTATGACCCACCATGGTCCACCATGACCCACCATGGTGGACCATGGTCCACCATGACCCACTATGACCCACCATGGTCCACCATGACCCACCATGGTCCACCATGACCCACTATGGTCCACCATGACCCACTATGGTCCACCATGACCCATAATGACCCACCATGGTCCACCATGACCCACCATGGTGGACCAACCATGACCCACTATGACACACCATGACCCACCATGACCCACAATGACCCGCCATGATCCACCATGACCCACAATGACCCACCATATAACAACCATGACCCACCATGACCCACCCTGACCCACAATGACCCACTATGACCCACCATGACCCCACAATAACCCACAATGACCCACCATGACCCACCATGACCTACCATGACCCACCATGACCCACCATGACCCACCAAGACCCACCATGACCCACTATGACCCACTACACCCCCACCATGACCCACTACACCCCCCACCATGACACTACAGCCCCCACTGTGACCCACAATGACACACCATGGTCCACCATGACCCACTACACCCCCACCATGACCCACTACTCCCCACCATGACCCACTACACCCCACCATGACCCGTTTTAACCCTACAATGACCCACTTTACCCCCACCATGACCCACTTCACCCCCACCATGACTCACTACACCCCTACCATGACCCACTACACCCCACCATGACCCATTTTAACCCCACCATGACCCACTTTACCCGACACCATGACTCGCTACACCCCCACCATGACCCACTTCACCCCCACCTTGGCCCAAAATGACCCACTACACCCCCACCATGGCCCACAATGACCCGCTACACCCCCACCATGGCCCACTATGACCCGCTACACCCCCACCATGGCCCACTATGACCCGCTACACCCCCACCATGGCCCACAATGACCCACTACACCCCCACCATGACCCACTTTACCCCCACCATGACCCGCTACACCCCCACCATGACCCACTTCACCCCCACCTTGGCCCAAAATGACCCACTACACCCCCACCATGGCCCACAATGACCCGCTACACCCCCACCATGGCCCACTATGACCCGCTACACCCCCACCATGGCCCACTATGACCCGCTACACCCCCACCATGGCCCACAATGACCCACTACACCCCCACCATGACCCACTTTACCCCCACCATGACCCGCTACACCCCCACCATGGCCCACAATGACACCCTACACCACCACAATGGCATACAATGACCCACTACACCCCCACCATGGCACACAACACCCCCA